GAGGTGGGCAATGTCACGACGGGTGCCAGACCGCGTTATTAACGAATGAATGGATCTAAGTGTGTGAGAAGAAGGCGTTCTATACGGCTCAATAGAGCAAGTGTCCCATGTAGTTTTCGTGGCGTGAAAGTCCTTGATTCCCAAAAATCAAGTCTTTGGGGCTCCCTGTTGGTGGAAATGTAAACTGAGTTGGGTATTCGCTGGAATAGAGCAAGAATATACGTCAGAATTGCAAAGTAGTCCGAGAAGAAGAGCGCTTCAATACTAACGCGGTGCGACATACTCCGCCTGGCTAGTCACGGTAAAAACGTCGGTATAAACCTGTGCAAGCGGGGCGACAAAACCGCTACTAATAAGGGTCATCTCATGATCTCTGCTTGAGGAGGAGGACCAGGGGACCGAGGTCAGAAATCAGAAAAACCATTTCGGAAGACGACGGGAAAAGATGTCACATACCGCAAACGGGTTAAACTGATTCCAAGCCGAAATTTGCCCTCTATCCGAATGCTGACGTCGGGAAACATAAAGTATATTCCTCGTCGACCACTTAGATCAACGAGACTGTACGGCGAAGAGACCAGCGACCCGTACAGAAGTCGCTGGGCCGAAGGCTGGGCAGAAGCCAGTTTTGGATCATCGGGTGGATCTCGAATTGGGAAGCCATTTTCATCTAAGAGTTGAAGTGTCGAAACGAAAAAGGGTATCTCGTCGTCCCTGACAGCGGCTTCCCGTCAGTATTTTTGTGTGGCATGGAAAAAGTTTTGGGGCGGGTGGCTAAGGGTGGCTAGGGAGGGGAGAGCTCGGGGACATACACTGGTAAAACATGATTCGTTACATCAACGACATCCAAACGAACAATGAGCGCGGGGGCTAGGGGTACTCGCGAAAGATAATAGAGGCCATGGGCTGCACCCGTAGTAGGCTGTTGTACGATAGTGATACGGTATCCTCTGCAAGTCGGTCAGTATCGGTCAGATCGCACGAGTGATGCGCCTGACTTGGTTCCAGATGTTGATCTACCAGAGATTGCGAGAAAGCGACCGTTCGCAGAAGAGGAGGAAACTGAAAGGATGAGAAATGATAACACTTTATGAGTGCTAGAAGATCATCGTGAAAGACACGACGCACGAGCAGTATTAGGTGAAGTCGAAGGAGTGGCTTGTGGCTGATTGGTCAGATTTTTAATGGATATACGGTCCCGGCTGAGCTTGTGAAGGCTCGCTGGATCTGACCCCATCCGCGACGACATGGACGGGGAGTAGGAGAAGTAGAGAGAGTGGTTTAGAAAACGAGGGTGGTGAAAAATACTGGAAGTGTGATTATTGACGTAAGGTGTTTTTGAGCACTTGCAGCGGATTAAGATTGGAGCACCCTCGGAGGACGACGAATAGTGATATCGACGCCAATAGACAGGGTCAGTAACACAGCTATGCGCGATGCATGCCAAATACGGTTTTGGGAGAAGCGTTTTGGGGTTCCCGGGGAATGTGTGCGTTTAACTCGATGCGTGGACATAGAACAGTCCAGGTAAAGATAAGAATTACGGGGGCCGTACGGAGATCCGATTCGAACGCGTGGAAACCACGCGAGAAACCTATTCGGAATGCGAAATGAAGAAGTGCCACCAATAGGGATGGGCAAAATACAGACCCAGGCCGCAGTGGCGAAACCCTAGGAGACGACGGGCGACACGTGAAGGAAGCCTTTGGTAGATATTATGTTGTCATTGTTAGTGAGGAAGCATAGGGAGGCACGTTGCCAGCTGCCCGAGCAATTAAGTTTGGCAGTGGTAACGACCCCCCGACATGATTACGACGAGCTCAGAACCTCTGAAGCTGGCTGGGTTCGCACAGCAAAGGGTCAAACTTTGGCGAGATTAAGAAGAGTCAATCAATTCCAGATGAAGAGGTGTGTATATTAGTAAAGTGCGTGCGTAATAAGTCGCATCACTTGCAATCTTTTGTATGGTTGTCAGGTTTCGAATCGGATCGAAATACATACACGAAAAGAAAAATGCAAACAAACAACCCAGTCGACTATAGAATGGCCGTTTTGATCCAGCTCCAGGCGCCTGCCGCAGTGGTCATTAATGTGGCCGCCGCAAACGCAGGCTTGACACCAGCTAAATGAATGTCAGCGGTAGTTTAAAGGATCGCCCGGCGAAATGCCAATAAAATGGACATACCTGTACTTTTATACATGGCTCCGCAAATGCCACCAGCGGCCATCCCGCCCCAGACGTCGTGCTTACCGCGTATCGAATCAATTGACGAGTTGACCACGTTATAAATAAGGGCTAGAGAATAAGAATACGAGAAAACCCGGTGTACTCAGTCAACGGGTGCAGTGCACCAAAAGTAGACACTATACCTAGAACACCAGCCGAATTGCCTAAGAACGTCCCTCTTCTCGTCACACCATTCAGTACGCTGTTCAACCGTAGTCTAGCATTGGAAACTGCGAGTGGCCTAGCCGCTCCTTCTCGGAGTCCCCAAAGACCTCCTATGCCAAGTCCTAGTGTATGCCGGTAGTGCCGTTAGCGGCGAAAAAGAAAGTAAGGGTCGCAAAAATAGTTACCCGCAAGGTATGTAGTCCCAGTACCATAGCACAGATCGTCACTCCAACCTCTCGACGGTAACGCGGTTGTACCACCCGGCAACGAACTGAGTTTATCATCATCCAGTAGAAGATAATCAAGGCTATCGCCTATTCCTGCCAGAGGGTGTAGTTTGCTTGCATCGTACGCGCCCGCCAGAACGTCTGTCGCTGTGACAGCATCCGGCAGAGGCGTATCGTTGGGTTTGGAGAATGTTACCCCTGTAGCGACAGTTGTACTCGTAGGAGCATTTACTGGTTCTTTTGAGCCTTTGTCTCTTATGAAATCGAAAAACGACATGGCGAGGTCTGTGAGCAAGGTGCTGACAATACGGCCATTAAAAATTTTTTTATTCTCCCAAGCCACGTTATGACAGTGCCCCCCAAACCCTCGACATTGCTTCGTTCACCATCATTTAATCCCTTGTAAATGCAACACTTTCAGTTGGATAATGGACATATAGTTTCCAATATTTTGAGGTCTCTATAACCAATACAAGCCAATCCACCATTCCTTCGTAGGCAGCGATTGTGGCACACGCGCAATAGATCAGACCACATATGTATAGAAATCTAAAGAGTAATTGTCATTTGTTTTCATTGTCATCTCTCCTCTAGGACAAGAAACCGTTGGCGTCCTTGCTCAAGGACGTTCCATCCATACATATGGACTCGCACCTTGTAACACAATGCCAAATCTGGGTATCAGTTACGATGAATAATTAAAAAGACCTCGTCATCACTCCTTTGGAATACTCAATCTTAACCTCTTGCGGCAGGGGCCAATATAAATATAAATAAATATGATTATATATGAATAAATATGGATAACTATAATAAATAAGTTGTAGTCGGTGATTATGTTGTGGATAAAGATTTAATTAGTTCGTGGATTTTATAGAATGGACCAGCATAAGATGCCTTTTGTAGTTCTGTGGAGCGATCAAGTTTCCACTGTATTGACGAGAGATAAGCCATTGAATCTTTGAGCTTGGGATTGACTTACCAGATTTCGCATTCAGCCCTAGGTTTCACGATCCTCCTCACATGATCAGCAAGTAGAACGCTGTCAGCAAAAGATAATGAGCTACACGTATGGTCAGTATCCAGAAATTGTGTGCTCAGTTTCGAAGGCTTACCAGTCCGCTTTGCCGCAGTCCCCTCCACATGCAAAAGGCTTGTATCCAAAGTGAGAATACATGTGTGAACGCACTCGTTGACGTCGATAGTTGCTATATGGGCATAGATTCGATGTCCCTGGTTGGATGAACAGACAAGAGTGTTGTTCACCCCTTGACCAAATCAGTGGGTCGAATCGAGACATTCCTGGCTTAATTAACCCCAGCTGAGCCAAAGGTTCTGCGTCATCGACTGGTGGCTCTGCTTCATTCCTTTGCAACCAAGAACTGTGTGCTAGCCGGTCTCTAACATTTTGAAGGACCGGCATTGAGATTGGTAAGTCTTGAGGTGCAACAGAACTGGGATTAGATGTCGATGAGAGCAAAGGTGGGGATCCAGAAGGCCGATTGAGAGTACCAGGATAGGTACCCTGTTGCTGAACGTGCCATATGTGGTCAGAATCGTAATCTTCCCATTCTATAGGAACCAAAGGTGGATTAGAAGAGTCGAAATCATCTTATCAGAACGAATTACCTTCATACATCGATTCTTGATTGAATGATGACATCCCACGATCTCCTAATACACTTGTCAGTTTAACTCTTGCCAAAGGGATCACCCATTACCAGACTGAAGCTCTTCATGAGAAGGAAAGCCTAGGAAATGTCAATCAATTTTCATTGAACGATCGGCGATACGAACCTCTTTGAGAACCTTGCATGTGTTCGCGCATGAGAGAGTTGAAATCCATGGTGATTTGAAGTTTATACGAAAGGAATTCGATAGGAGGAAGGGCACGACTACCATAAAACCTTGAAAGCCCCCTCTTTATAGGTCGAAAAGCCTTCAGGTAATGCGCTGTATAAATGAGCCTGGTACGGGCAGGCAGAGTTCAGGATCGGCGTTTATCCAAGCTCATGTAGCCCTCGAAGAGGGTCCAAGTCACCGTTGACCAATGAAGGCGTTTATCGGTGGCTGGAACCCTGGGGGTTGAGGGGCCTATTATGGGAAGACAGACTGCGAATGCGTCCGGTCCGATCACGATAGTCCCTACATCTTTCATCCTATTTGTATACAGTGTGTTTTGTGCGGCGGTCGCGGTGCTGTGTTGGTCGTCGGCGTCGGGGCACCTGAGAAGGGCCGTAGAGTAGGATGTCCACAAAGGGCTATCATTTCGTGAATTTAAAAAAATCGGACTCCGTCCCAGATGCAAGATATGAATACCAGTGAAGCATCGCCGGAGCTAAGGGGCAAGCCAGTGGTAACGGCGTTCTCTGGCCCAACTCAGGCGACAGCCATCCAAAGACCACAAATTCCAGGAAGAATCTTCAATTCGTCATGAGAATGCAAAAATTTAGTTGAAAAGAGCCGTTTGAAGCGGGCCTGGTAGATCTGACAGAGCGGCAAAGACCGACCATAAAGGAGAGACTTGACAGGATTGCAGGATTTTACCAAAAGTGTGATACGAATGAATTTGGCGCGATTCTTGTAGCCGCCCTATGGATGGACGAATAGACGCGATACACAGCGTTCAGGTCATGGCTGGGACCAAGCAAGGGGCCGACTTTGACCTTTCACCTGAACATGTCCACACGAGCTATCTCCTCAAAACTTTTCAGAATAATACCAAGAATACGTCCTTTGACTCCAAAGGTTGTGAGAAGCGTGCAACTTTCCCATCGACAAATTTTACAACTTCCCCCAAGAAGTTAGTAAGCCGAATCATACAATGCGTATATTGAAAAGTAAAATTTATTCTCTCTAGGATGGGCATCCTCTGTAAACTCTCCGTCCATCGCGACGGTCGATCCAGCCCAGACAGAAGCAACTTCCTTGCTCGAGCATGGAACCAAGCTCCTCGAAGAAGGTTCGGGCTTCTTAATAGGATAAATATCTGAATTTTAACCTCAAATCAATACAGGAGACATCGAAGGCGCTCTCAAGAGCTATGCCCGCAGTGTTGAAATCAACAGGACAGCAAGTGGGCTGTTCAATCTTGGTGTCACGCATTACCATCTTAGTAAATCTTTCATACGAGCGCATTCAAGTACTAACAAGCCTCAAGAGCAGTTCGACAAAGCAATTGAATGTTGGAAGGCGGCAATCGAAATTGACCCTGCATCTGCTGATGCGCACACCAGTACGTACCGAGCCTCAATGTGCTAAGGAAACCACTGAAATAAGCGCTTTCACATGGCCACAAGACTTAGCAAGTGCATACATTATGTCCCCACCCTCACGGCCTCAATTGGCACTGGAGCATCTCCAGTAAGAACAGTAGCAACACTTGTGGCAGCTTACTGAATAAGGTTACAAGAATAGCCGCATCTCTTGCTCCCGAGGATGGTGAAATTGCCTTTAATTTAGCAGCTGTCTTGGAAGCTTGTGGGTGTTCCTCGTCAGCATTCCTGATAGATTCACTCAGTCACTTCGATTTTCCCAGGTGGACAACTGGAAGCTGCATTGGTGCAGTATAAAAGAAGTCTCGAATTCAATGTTGAGCGCGCTGAACAGAATATCCGTAATGTAACTTGCTTCTCCATGCCCTATAAGGCCTTTCGAGCTCACGAAGACGCCAATTATACTTTCTCAGGTCAGCGCAAAGATATTCGGGCAACGGCTAAAAGCCGCAGGCGAGGACCAAACGTCGCCAGGCAGCGGCGAAGCCAACAACAAGAAGGTGTCTTCATAGGAGCCTCATCTCAGTGGCACAAACATGGTTTTCCTTTCATTTAGGAGTGAATAACATACAGTTGATAATCTAGTGACGTTGTATCTTCTTTAATAACATACCATTCATCTCTTCAAAACTACGTCCCTTGAGTGGCGTACCCTCTCCATCGTCTATCCTCTCCGAAAGGGGACGAAGGGCGTTTGGTAACCATTGTGATACGCCAAATGGTATAACTAGTTGCCACCAGTCGTCAAAAGACTGTTTATGTACCCCTGCCAATGGACGACCCTCCAGCTGGAAATTGTCCTTGTCCATGGGAACCGGTCTGAGTGTTATTACGATACTCCGCGGTGCTTGAAGGACAGTCCTGAGGGTCGATATTACCAACTCGGGTGAATCAAAGAGCAACGAGCCGATGATTGATTTATCCCACCCCGACGGGAGCGATTCCCCGAGCAGAGAAAGTAATGCCTTCAAACCAGTCGCGCCTTCCCACTTCCCTTGTTTAGCCACCAAATAAATGGCTCGTTTCCACAACCGTACAAATGTGTATATACTGCCTAAATATCTGGTGAAATATAGCACCGAAAAAAGTCCAGATACGTCTTGCGCCATCAGGAGGTTTGAGGAGGTAAGCACGAGGGCCCCTGTGAAACGTAACTGGGTCTCCACCACGAATCGCTTGGCATTGAACCTATTCAAAGGCGAAGTAGGACCTATTCCCGCGGATGCCTGCTTCAAGCGACTTGAGGAAACATTTGCGCTCACGAATCGATGCACGAGAGTCATGTCTTTCATATACCGGCACACAGAGGATACATCCCCAGAATGAAGGCGAGACCGTATAAGGATCTTCAAAACTCGTGCTTTGCGAGCCAGTCGAGCCAGAGAGGTAAAGCTAATATCGTTTTGCTCATCCTTTTCTGTCCAGTTTTGAGCCAGCTGAAGGCTGCTTTCACGCATCAAGGAGCGAAGAAATTCCAGTTGGTCCTTAGACTGAGATGAGGTCGGTAGGTTTGTGGCCCCTTTCAGCCTATCGAGATAAGCTTCTGCTCTAGAGAGTATTGCAACTTGACTCGATGCATGGCGAGAAAGCATGTGTATAAAGGTGTCTAGCTCATGCAGGAGAGTTGGTTCGCGGTGTCGTACCCTAAGAGACAAGGACGATAACCCTTGTATCAACATGGCGATTTCATACTGGTCGAGAGTGCTCCCGTCCTCTACCCGTCGGTGCAACCAATTATTGAGGAATTGCAGGAAGCTCTGGGTTGATGTTTTATGGTTATAGAGACGTTGGAAAGGATGCGAATGCTGATGTTTCGATATCGAGCGGAGAATATATCGATATTGCTGTTGCTGTAGCCTGACATCTCTGTAAGAGATGACTACAGTGCCAACACGCTGTATTGCACGCTTCTTTGCCCATATGTGCAGAATCTCGATGAGACGGTTCACTACTGAGAGGCGACGAACATTGCTGTCGCGCAGCATTTCGCATATGTGATTGGTGAACACGTTGAGGGGACTCCGCTGGCGAAGTATACAAGCTTCTTCGCACAATCTTAGCATTGTTAATGGTGAGAAGGAAGTCCCTTGGCGGATATAGAAGGAGAATGCGTTTGCAGCCGTTCTGCAGCGGTTGTTTTTGAGGAGGAAAGATATCCACTGAGCGACAGGATCTTGATACAGGACTGTATGAGCAAGATTTGTATGTAAAAGTTTCTCGTGATTTATGACACTGATAACTTTCTTTTGCTTGGTGC